GGGAGAAGGAGGGGAGGGAGGACCGTCGCCTGGTTACGACGAAGGCGAGGCGCCTCCCCTTGGGAGTTTCACCCAGGGAGATGGCCTGGGCTGCTGGCGAGGGCAGGTCACCACGGTCCGGCTCCTCGCGGCCATGGAAGCCGAGCAGGGGGAGAGGTCAGGGAAAAAAGGAAGCTCCGCAGCCGGGCGCCAGCGTCCACGTTGAGAGAGGACCACCTTGGCGAGCTTGTCCAGCCATAGCCAGCTCTGCGGCCGGGGGGGGGGGGGGAGACTTGCCAATCGAAGCCCGCCCCGGCCGAGAAGGGGCATCGCTGCGACCGAAAAAAAAAAAAAACCATGCCCGCGCGGGGATTGCTCTTTCACAGGCGCCGCTGGGCCTCGGCCCCCGGCGCGGGGAAGGGGCCGGAGCCGAGGAGGCCGGGGCAACAGGCGGGCAGGCCACGGAACAGATCGGCCCAGGACCGAGGCACCGGCCTCATGCCCGTGCTTGTCGACACACAGGAGGAGGACACGCGGCAGCAGGATGCCGGCGCCTCTTGCCTGCGCTCCTGCCGTTTCTCGGCCACATGCCCCGCGCTACCCGGGTCAGCGGGCACCAGCCATTGGCCCCCTGGGGCGAACTCGCTCTCCTCGGCCGGGGAAAGGCCCGGCAGGGAAAGATCTTCCGGCGACCGAAGCCGCAGGAATCATTGGGACGCGGTCCCCCGGCTGCGCCCCGACCTAGGTGCCCACTGATGATGGATAAGGCCAGGCCCCTCCGCGCGTCCCCCGGCCGGGGGCGTATCCCTCTCGCCGCGTGTTCCGGCAGGGCCGGGGGGGGGGGGGGCCGGCCGGCCACAGGAAGCTGGCGAGCGGAGACCCGCACATGTGTCCCTCGCCCTCCAGCGCCGGGCGTCGTCAGCGAGGAGGCCGGGGAACTGAAACAGCCGCCCGGGGGAAAGACGCCCGGGGCGCGCCCCAACATTGGGGCAGTGGCGCGTGCGGACACCAGGAGAGGGTTGGCGACAGGGCCCCGCTCAACTCCCCCGGGCAGCCGGGTCCCGACCGAGACGCGCCCCGGTGTCGGGCCCCGCGGTCCCCAGCCCCAAAAATGGCGACCACTCCCCGGCCAGCCAACTGCCCCCGTGTTGCTGTCCCCCCCCCCCCCCGCCCTCCCGCCTGCCGCCTGGCTACACAACTGGCCTCCCGGGAACCCGGGAGGCCTGGCCGAGGACCGCAGCATGTTCCCACACCGGGTCAGCCCGTCGGCCCGGTCGGGGTTGATGGTATTCCCGATCGCCAGGAGCGTGGTGCCGGCGCACCGGGCCAGCCGTGGCTGTGGCTCGCGCGCCGGCCCCCCTGATCCCCAGGGCTTCATGAGCCGAACCCCTTTCCGATGATCGGACTCCCTCAGGGGTCGAGCCTGTGTGGCCTTGGGTGTGCGTTTTTTTTTCTTTCGCCTCTCACAAGTGATGGAGACTTCCACGCCCTCCCGCCCATCCACACACACACACACACACACACACGCACGCACGCACGCACGCACGCACGCACACACGCACACACACAGATCCCCGTTTGGTGGATGTGTTCCCCCTCTGTCCCCGCCGCTTGGCTCCTGCTCTCCACCCGAGCCTTTTCCTTTCCCGTTGCGGCGTGGCCACACGGCCACACGGCCACTCAGCTATCTTTTCTTCTGTTCTACGCCATGCGAGGCCCCTCGTCCTCAGTCCGCCAGTGCTTTATGATGATGCCTTCTCCGGGTAACACGATTGATCCCGGTGGCCGAGACCGCATCCACACACATACACACACACACACACATACACACACAACGCAGGGCACCAGCCCCATGCGCGCGCCAACACCAACTTGAGCCCATTTTCTGGCATGTACAACATGGATGGGGGAAGAGGTAATCTACAAGCAATTGCATTTGCATTCGTCCCTCCCACAGAGGGATCGGTTGATTGGATACAAGGAAAGGAAAGCCGCCAACGTAAATGCTAGGTGGCAATGATCGGCGCCTGGCTATGGAAGAGATCCATCAAGCGCGAGACAGTGTCGGATACGAAGGACGTAATGCCAGCATGCTCGGAGGTCTTCTCGACCACGCTCGTGGCGGCCTGCTCGACGGCGGCCGCCGTCGAGGCCGGTACGGCAGCCAGCTTGTCGGCAACGGAGACCGCGGCGGTCCTCCCAACCATGGCCGAGTGGTAGCTATGATAAAGGAAGGGGACCAGCTTGAGGAGGAACATGATACCGAAGAAGGCTGGGCGGGGTGGAGTCGCGTCGAGGAGGATGGCGATGATGATGGGAGGTGGTTTTGAGATGTCCATGGTCAGACGGCGAGGAAGCGAGAGAGAGAGAGACAGAGAGAGAGAGAGAGAGAGAGGGCAAGAGGCAGAGGAGAGGAAACATACAAATGAGCATGGGGACCCAGAAGTTGAAAAGCATCCGATCGCGCTTGCGGCCGGGCCGCATTTCGATTGTGACCGTTTGACGGACAAACTGCTGCTGCTGCTGTGGCGTGTGAAGAGACTTGGTCGCGGGAGCGGCCGCGGCAGCAGCAGCACCAGCAGCACCAGCAGCCGTAGCAGTAGTAGTGGCAGTGGTAGTGGCAGTGGCAGAGGCGACAGGAGTGGCAGCGGAATCGATGGCAGCTGCCTGGCGGGCGGCCTGCAAAGCAGCAGCCGGATTGCTTGACGGACTCAGCGCCAGTGCATAGAGGAAGTTCATCAGTCGCGCCGGGGAGATTGGGCGCTTGGTGGAACCGGGCGGGGTGGATGTGGCGGGAGCCCCAGCAGCAGCACCCTCAGCACTTGCCGGGGTCCCGGCCGCGGGGTTGGCGGGGGATGTGTCGGATTCTGCCGACACACCGCCCGTGGCCTGGGCCTGCTGCTGCTGCTGCTGCTGGCGCAAATAGTAGGCCAGATTCTCCGACCAAGAAGTCACCACCGAGGAGGGGATGCTGGACAGCTTGCCGAGAGCCAACTGCCAAAGGTCCACCGCATGGACCGACACCAGGGAACTGTAATCGTCCCAGAGGCTGAGCGAGCTGGCTCCAATCGGCTGGAAGACACTCGACACCCGATCGGCCACCGTGTCGATGAAGGACTTCATCTCCTGAAGGAAGGCCTCCGGAGAGGTGGGCCCGGCGCCGGAGGCCGCCCCGATCGGCCGCCGGACATTGGCGTCGGCGGCCAGGCCATGAGCGGCGACCGTTGTGGCAGTGACAGGGCCACCAACTCGTGCCTCGGCCGGCAGGGCCGGGACCGAGCCAAAGAGCTCCGGCAGGGCGTGGATTTCGGAGCGCAAGCGCGCAAAGGTGGCCGACCTGGGGCTCGTGCCGAGACGCGCCGCGTGCAGGGGGGAATCCGACCGAGCAAGCATGCGGGCCAGGATCGACCGGCAACGCGACCCCACAGCGGCATACTGCAGGCAAGTTCGCCCATAGGCATCAGTGGCAAAGGCATCGGCCCCGGCAAACAGCAAGAGGGTCGCCACAACCGGATGGTCATGGATGATCGCCAGATGCAGAGGCGTCCGGCCATAGAAGTCCACCGCGTGCAGGACCTCCGACGAGAAGGCCCGCTCCAGGATGAACCAACAGAGTCTGAAGTAGTTGCTGATGGCGGCCATGTGGAGGAGCGTATGCCCGGACGTGGACCGGTGCTCGAAGGGCAGACCGAAGGTCCGGAAACCATAAGCCGCGGAAAGGGCCCGCAGGATGGTCTCCTCGTCCTGGCCGCCGCCGATTTCCATGCCAGGAGGCAGTCGCGACGGGGGGGAAGCCTCGGAGGGATTCGACTGGCCTTCGGTCCGGGGGGTTTGCGGGGCAGAGGAGTCATCTGACAGGACGCCGCCATGCAGGTCCACCAGGTCCAGATCCAGGAGCGAAGTGTCGAAGGACCGCGAACGCTCCAATGCCCCCGGGCCGGAGTCGGTGGTGCCACTGGCACAACTGCCAGAGTGGATCGAGGAGAAGGAGTTACTCCGCCGGAGGGGGCGTCCAGCGCGTGGCGGAGGCGTCGAAGTGGCGGACGAGCCATCGCCAATCCCGGCGTCACTCGCGGCATCGGAATCAGCAGACGCGTCGGTGGACTCGGCCACATGCTTGTGGGCCTGCTCGGCCACCTGCTCGTCGGGGATCTCCTCAATGGGCTCGCTCGCATCGGAGGGACCAGCACCACCCCCGGTGTTGAGGAATGGGAAGCCGCTCTTGAGGAAGTTTGACAAGGTAGACATCATGGCAGATACCTGGGCAATTGGGGGGGGGGGGGGGGTTAGCAGAGCTAAAGGTGTGGAGATGGTGCGCAGGGCAACATGCACACTTTACCGCATGCACAAAGGGCTGTGCAAAGACGCACCTGGCTCGAATTTTCGGGCTTCTCATTGACCTTCACGCCGATCACCCGTAGGGCCAGCTCCATGAGGGCCTTGTCCATGTCGTCGCGATAGCTGAAAAGGACAATCTCGCGGGCATTGGCGTCGGGGACATTGCTCGGGCCAGGACCCGGGGGCGAGTCGGCCGGAGGGTCTCCAGGCGCCGTCGAGGCCGGGATCGATGGAGAGGGCGAGGTTTCGGCACCAGGAGCCGACAGGGCCGTGCGCTGGAGCCCTTCAAGGGCCGCCTGAGTGAGGGTCACATCTACGGGAACATCGCCCGGCTCAGCCGCCGGGGGCAGCAGGCAGATGAGCGTCGTGTCACTCCACACCTGCAGCACCATGGCCTGGGAGCAGCCGAAGTTGATGGTGACGCCGTCTGGTGGAAGGAGGAGGAGGAGGGGGGGGGGAGAGAGAGAGAGATAGAGACGCAGAGGTGAGTATGCCAACCGCCAGAACACATGCAGCCGCCGTCCAATCCATCCACCAGCGCAACAGGGAGGGAGGGCGGGAGAAAGGGAAGGGCGACAGGGGAGAAGCACATACCGATGAAGTTGCGCCCAAGGACGGTCACCTCGACACCGCCACGGATGGATCCCTCGCGGGGGATGACCCGCGACACCTCGGGCCAAGGAAGATCCTTGCCATTGGGAGGCGAGACGGGAGCCACGGTGCTTGTGATCAGGAGGCCAGACGCACTCCCGATGAAAGGCACGGCATCCGAGTAGAAAGACTGCCCGGAGTGCGGGGACGAAGAGGCCACCTCGGAGAGAGGCGAGCCGGTCATCGGGCCGGTGATGATGGAACCGATCGGCGCGCGCGCCGGCTCGACCATGACCACGTCTGCCGGGGCTTCCTCGCCGAGCACCGATGACGAAAGGGCCGGTGTGTTGGGCGAGGGAATGGTGCCTGGCATCGATGGCGAAAAGGCAGGGAAAGTGCCAGGGGGAGCACCGGCGGATCCCGGAGGCCCTGGCAGGAAGTCGGAATAGTGCCCAGCTGCCTGGGCCCCGGGGGCTCCCGGCAGGCAGGAAGCCGACGTCCCCTGTCCGGGGTATGTGAAGTAGCAGTTTGCCGGGTGGGAGGGATCCGTGGTGGCGGTCGGGCCCAGCTCAGCCGGGTGATGCTCCTCCGGGTGGTCATGGGCAGGGGCCACGGACATCAGGGCATCCGAGCGGCCAGCCTGCAGATAGGAGCCCATGGTGCCGGCAGGCCCACCATAAGCCGACTGCTGAAGCGGATGGTGATGTGCCGACGACGGCGGCGGCGGCGGCTGCTGCTGCTGCTGTTGCTGTTGCTGCCGCTGCTGCTGCTGCTGCTGTGGCTGCGGCTGCGGCTGCGACCGTGGCTGCGACTGGGGCTGCGATTGGGGCTGTCCCGTCGGGGGATGTGGCGAGAAGTGGTGCTGCTGCGGGTAAAGATGCGGTGGACGGAAGGAGTCCGGCTGACGGAGGCGATTGGCATCACCCGGGCTACTGCTCGAGGGCGAATGATGATGCATGTCGGTGAAGACGTCGGGTCCGGGGCCGCTCGGGGCAGCGCCATGGCCGCCAGCCGGGGGGTAGGCACCAAAAGCCGGCTCACTCGGGCCGGGTGTGGCATTCGGGGTTAGGTAATGCGTGCTGTCGGGCCCGGAAAGGAAGCCAGGCCCCCGGCGATCGGCCGACAGGGATGTCGGGAAGCCCGGACCACCGACAGGGGCAATCTCGGATCTGGAGGTGCCCGGCGGCACACCTCCATGATGCATGGAAGGATATGCCGCACCGGAAACACCGGAGTCCAGGGGATGGCGCTGCTCGAAGCCACCCGGAGCACCATGTAGCGGAGCCCCTCCATCGTGCGACGTAGCGGGAAAGCCGCCAGTCGCGGAAGCTGGCACAAGCATGTCCCCCTGCGGGTGGGACTGGAAGTGGGACTGCCCCTGTGAGGCGAAGTGCCCCTGCGATTGCTGGGGCGGCAGAGACCGCTGCTGACGTTGCTGGTGCTGCGGCTGTGACTGCGGCTGCGGCTGCGGCTGCGGCTGCGGCTGCGAGTGACGATGATGGTGGTGGTGATGGTGGTGAGAGTGCTGCGCATGGTGGTCGGCCGGACCTCCAGGGTGTACTACATGGTGCGGGGCGTCGCCGGCAAAGCGCCGCGGCGCGGACGCCTGATCCGCTGACATGAGCCCATAAATGCCACGAGTTGTGGTATCCGGGCTATGGGGCGAATGGGTGGTCGGGCGACGAAGGAGGCCCGATCCCGAGACCGGGGCAAAGTCGGCCCCATCATGCCCACCAACATCGAGGCCCGGCTGGCTGCCGGACACACGATGGTGCGCGTGCCCTGAATGGTGGGGGTGCTGGTGCAAGTGGTGATGAAGATGGTGCGACTCCGGCGGACCGGGAGGCATATGCCCCAGATGCGGGTCCATCAGGTGCGAATCGCCATGCTCCGACAGGAAAGCACCACGCATCGGAGGGGAGCCGGCATCCAGATCGCCCGCGTGATGATGGTGCGATGGACCGTGATGCGAGTGGTGGAAGCCACCGGCCAGCGATCCACCCTGCTCAGCCGCTGCCGGGCCAAGAGCAACCCCATGCTGGGCTTGGAGGTGAGTCAGGACGTGCGCCTGGGGCTGCTGCTGCTGATGATGATGATGATGATGAGGATGGGGATGAGGATGGTGATGAGGATGGTGATGGGAGCCGGTGACCTGTGGGAGAGGCTCCAGCGAATGCGATGCGCTGGCCAGGCGGCTGCTGCCCGCCATCGGGAAGTGATCCGACAGCTGGGGGCTGCTCGCGCCACTGCCAGCAGGAGTCACATCATCAGGCAGACTCGGGTCCGAGACAATCGGCGAAGAGGGCGAAGAGGGCGAACCACCAGTGGCCTCGAGCTCATGGCGGCCAGCACTGGGTGCCACCGACAAAGTGCCGGCGGCCGGGAGAAGCCGATCTGGCGAGGGGGGGGCCGAAGAGCCTGCCCGATCGCGTCCGGAGCCAGCCCCGGCACCGCCGGCGCGCCGGTTGACCTTGGCACTTTTGTGGTCATCGGTGACCATGATCGGAGGAGCCACGGTCGCCGTGACAAAGCGACCCTGATGATCACGGAAAATGAAGACCAAGCTACATCAGGGGATGGAGAAGGAGCGTGTGTGTGTGTGTGTGTGTGTGTGTGTGTTAGAGGGTCACGCAGCTCCAGAGGGACGATCATGGATCAAGGGAAGGCAGAAAGATGAGAAACGCACCAATAACCAGTCAACTCCTGATGGTGACGCGAGTAACAAGTGATGCGAACGCGAAACTTGGCCATGCCATCGGTCAGGGGAATGTGCTGCGAAGAGTTGAACACAATGATTCGCAGGTGATCATCCGACTGCGGGCCCTGATGAGTGGCCTCGTCCAAGTTCACCAATGCCTGACGATAGGACTCGAGGGAATTGATGAACACCTCGACGGAGGCTGGCCGGGCGACCGGAGTCTCGGAGGTGGAAGCACTCGCGCCAGGGAGCGCACGCAGGGCGTCGGCCGTCACCGGGCCGCTCATGTCCCGGAGGAGCGGTTCCAGCTGCTGGCCACGGAGATGCGCAAATCCGGGCAGGGCAACAAGCTTGTCGAAAGAGCCGCCGGCCTGCTGTTGGAGGCGTTTGATCCGGCTGTCCAGGCGCTTGACCATGCGGCGGTGCTGTTTGCCACGGGAGATGTCAGCTCGACGAAGATCCCCACACTGGGCAGGGTGTGACCACGGAGAAGAGGACAGACTGACAGAGAGGAGGGCGAGGGGGGAGATAACACACCTCGCGCGAAACACAATCGTTGCACATGGACACCGGGCCCTTGGAGAAGTCACTGGCGCAGGCGACCAGAATCTCCACGGAGAGGACCTTGGAGGGATCCAAATTGGGGGACTTCTTGACAGGGCGGACATTTCGATCAAGCTGGATCAACTCCTGGGGAATGGCAATGTGCGTCCATGGACAAGTGTCAAGCTGGGGAGGGGGAATGACAAAGGAGCGTGAGTGAAAAGGAACTTCGGAGACCCATGGCCGGGGAGGGAAATAAGGAGACACTGGAAGAGGGGCATGCCCGCACCTGATCGATCATGACCATCTTGATGTGGCTCTGGGTCTCGACACGTGAGCGGGCCGTCCCCAGGGGAAGGTTACTGGCAATGCACGAGAAAGATTGGTTCCTGGGGGGGGGGGAGGGGGGGGGAGGGAGGGAAAGACCAGATGGCGTGAAGGGGCAGTGTCAATATCGGCATTCGGTGCACTGGCCCTGAAGTGGCAGAGAGGGGGTCCACACGTACAGCGGGTGCCGCGAAGCGCTGTCAACTCGATAGTGCTGGAGGATGTCCCCAAGGGCCCGCTTCATGGGATCCAGATGCCCGGAGGAGAGGATGGCCAGTCGACCGCAGGTGGCCTCCTGCTTGGAGAGGGGAACATCATCGTCCTCATCGTCGGGGCTGGCATCGCGCCGGCCACCGCCGGCCGCGGTGCGGCTGACAACCAGGCTGGGAGGGAAGGCCCGGTTGACAGTGCGCCATAAGTGGCGAAAGCTCAGCGGAATGGTGGAGGGCTTGGCCGGATCCAGGGAAACAGCCGATACGGGGGGGTTCCCTCGGGCACCGGCAGTGTCCAGTCCCGCCAGCGGATCGGCCTGAGGCTGGGGGAACACCGGCTCGGTCTTCGGCAGGGGGGTGGCATCAGGCCGGAGGGTGGTCGGGGCGCTGGCCTGGAGAGCCGCCAGGCTGAGGCCAGTCACCCGAGTCGGCGAGGTGAGCTCCAGCCGATGGCGAGGCTTGACCACACGCAAGCTGGACTCCGGGCGCGCGCCAAAGGGCGTCGGATGCATGGGCCCCCCGGATGGACGGATCCCGGCGCGCAGGGAGTCACCGCCCGAGCCGAGATGGTGTGTAGGAGGCAGCCCAGTGGCATAGTCACCAGCCTCGGCACGCGCGTCCATGTGCGAATAGATACCGCCTCCCATGCCCGGGGAGTGATGGTACACAAAGGGGCCAGGGAGCATGGCCGTCGGGGACAGAGTCTGTGGCATACCAGCAAGGGAGGGGAGAGGCTGATCTCGAGAAACCGGGGGCTGGCTGGGCGAGGGGTGGGGCAAGTGGCGAGGGGCGCGGTGGGGCGAAGGGCTGGAAAGGTGGTGGGGGTGGGGGTGGTGGAGGCGGCGGCGGGGGTCGGCAGGAGCGGGATCTACCGGGTGCATATCGCACGCCCCAGTGGACCGGACCCAGGGACAGACAGGCGCGCGCGGCGAAAGCGGGGGGGGGGGATGAGGGGCGTGAGGGAGGAGAAGGGTGGGGGGGGGAGGGAACGGCTTGTTGGATCCGCCGTCGAGGCCGGAAGCTCGTGTCGCAACGCTTTGAGCAGTTGGATCGGATCTCCGCCGTATCACCTTCGGGCGCCGGTGGGGGGGGGGGGGCGGGGAAGGGAAACAGAGAGGGAGCGAACATTCGTGTACGGGGGGGGGGGTGGGGTCTGCGTGTGCGTGTGCGTGTGTGAGATCATTTTCAAGGGACCCTCCCCCCCCCCCCCCCCCCCCCAAGCCACGCCTCTCGCGCACCGGGCCCACCGCAAAGGTCTCGGCCGGGATGGCAAGCGAGCCGACCAGGGCACCCGCAGGGTGAGCGGGCAGCCGCAACATCGGGGCGGGTGGCCGAATACCCTGTTGTGGCCTGCAGCCTCCACCTCTCAAGGGTGGTATGCTTTCCGGCTCCAGGTCGGGAGGCGAATGGTGGCAATCGAACAGTTTCTCTCGGGCAGGACCCCGGCCCCTGATGCCACCCCCCAAGCCGCGAAAGGAGAGGAACGTCGGATTCGAGATCCGGCCGCCCAAAAGCGGGCCGCCGGTCACACAAGCTCGGTGGGCTCTTCCTGAGCAGGATCCCGTTCGCAAATCAACAGTTACATATATATATCCCCCTACTTTAATATTTCAACTTCGCCCGCACATCCGCCCGTTGCTGAGGCTTCAGGTAAATGCGCCGTGTGTGTGCGTGTGCGTGTGCGTGTGTTCCTGCGGGGCCGCTCGACCGTCTCTCGGGCCCACTCCCGTCGAAGAATGCCGCATTTTTGGGGCACGATTTCCTTGCCCGCCTTGGGGGGCGGGGGGGGGGGGCCGGATGGCCGGGGGCAGTGCGAGGGAGCCTGCATGGGCTGGCGGAAAGCCAGTGTGGGCAGGAGCGGCATCGGCCTCAGAGAGAGCACCGATCTGTAGGGGCTGTCTCTTGAGCCCCCCCCCCCCGCCCCCCGCGGGCAGACAGGGCGGCGCCCCAGAATAATGCCCCAGGACTGCCCGGGCCTCGTGGGAGCCGGGTGTTGGATTGGCCCCCCGCCCCCACTCCCCGGCCCCTGCTCTCAAGGCGGGGGGGGGGGGGGGTCAGCCCACAGAGGGACGCCGGACGCCGGGGTCTCCCGCCGTTCCATGGGACACTTCCTCCCGGGACAGTATCCCCTTTCTGGATAATTGGAGCCCCGCCCCCCCCTCCCCCCGCAACCGGGCAGTGTGGCGCGTGGGCCGGGGCTCGCGTCTTGGCAATGCCCCTTGGGTCGGTAATGTGGATGCGCAGCGGGACGCGTCCGGTCCACGGACGCCCATCTGGGTGGTCGCGGCCCCTCGCCACCCGAAACGCCTGCGGGGACACAGGGCTCGCAAGGGCCGGGGGCGGAGGAGGGTGGGTCTTCATTGCGCGGCCCTTGGAGCCGCGGCAGCGCGAAGAAGGGGAGCACGCCGACGGACAAACACACCCACACACCCACACACCCACACCCACACCCACACACGTCCCAATGGATGACTGGTCTCGGCTCCGGACCGCGGGTTGGGGCGCGGCAAGGGTGGCGTGGTGCTTGGTCACGCCAGGCCCGTCCTTTTGTAGCAGGGTTCACACGGGTTAAGCCTAAGTCAAGTGAGTGAGGCTTGACGAAGGGTACCAGTGTGATCTGCCACCTGGTTAGTAACCTCTTGGCATGAAGGAGGGGACATACCAACCAGCGGTTCACGGTCGTCTGTTACCAGATGAGTCAGTAACTCGGCTTGAGACGAGTTAGTGGCAAGCGAAAATAGAAAGGAACTCGGATGTTAAAAAGGGTTCGAGAGGAAGCCTTAGAACAGGTGTTCGTCGGCCTAACTGGTGCTTCGGCTATACTTCCGTATACTCTTCGACACACAGCTGCTAAGGCTTTCGCTCTCAGGAGGCTCTCAACGAGAGTCCCCCTTTTTGACCTTTGGGCTCGGTCAGGGGTTGGAACTGAGAACCCCGCGGCTGGGCCCGCCCACTCGCGTATCTCCGTCCTCGGTCGAGCGTTTATGCCGCTCGGCCTCGGCGGCCTCCTGGCTGTTGTTCTGCCCCGCATTCCTCTCCGAGGAATGCTGTTCTGGGATGCTATCATTCCCACGATGTAACACGTGTGGCAATTCACTCACGTGTTGCTTCATCTATCGTTTACATGGGGATTCCACTACACCTTTGTGGAATACTGTTCTCCAGAATGTACGAGAATCACGCACACATGAGACTTGGCGCTTGCGTTTTCATTTTCATCATCCCAGAACTGGTCTTTCGTCTTCCCAAGAACGAACCTTCGCCGCGGTCCCCACCCCCCGGGGTGCTCTGTTTCTGTCCTCCTCGCCCCCCCCCCCCCCCCCCCCGCACCCCGCACCCCGCGCCCCGGGCTCTCTGGCACTGCGTCCCCGCGTCCCGGGCTCCGGGTCATTCACACCCGTAAATGTGTGGATCGTTTCCAGTCGGCGGTAGACGATAGGGAGCGCTTTTCGATCTCAATCCCAACGAAGGTGCTACTGGGGGTGTGCGGGCGGTTTCTTGGCCATCATGCGGGCCCGGTCAGGTCCATCTCAAGAAAGGGTGACCTGTCCGAAGCCGGCCCATTGCGCCAGACACCAGAAAGCCCCTCCATCCTGCCCCCCTCCCCCTTTTGCGCCCTCCCCCCTTCCTTGCTCTTCCTTTCCCCTGCTCCTTCTTCTCCCTCGTTCCCGCCCCTCCTTGCCATCCTTTCAGGCCACCTGCGGGCCCCATCGCCTCTCCACTGGAAGATGTCCGCTCCTGGAGGCCACTCCCTTGGCCAGCTTCAACGCCTCGAACTGAGCCACGCAATCTGCAAAGCTTTGTCTGACCGCGGCCGCGAGCAAATTGCCAACCTGAAAGTTGGTACGTTTCGCCCGGGTCCTTTCCTTCTCCTCTCTCTCTCTCTCTCCCTCTCTCTTCCGATACATATTCTAGCCATGTCAACTGCCCGTTCCCTTGCTGACTCGCGTCTCCTTCTACTGGGCTCTGATGGCACCCAGCCCGCCTGCTCATTAAGTTTCACAACTCCAGCTCCACCCGGGGGGCTTTTTTGGAGAAGCTCAAGGAGTTCAACTTTGAGCCCGACTTCATCGATTACTTGTATGACCTGATCATTCAGTTCCAGTCCTCGGCCGGCCCGCCGGTCAAGCCGGCCTCCTCTTCGAGCACCACCGGTCCTTCTAATCCGCGAGATGGTCGCCACGATACTCGAGAGCTCGATCGTCGTGACGACCGCCAGGATGATCGCCATGAGGATCGTGGGTATGATCGCCGTGACGACCGTCGCGACGACCGCGGATATGATCGCCGTGACGACCGCGGATATGACCGTCGCGACGACCGCGGGTATGATCGCCGT